GGGGGAGGGGTCCCTTATTGCCCTGGGGAGGTGGGGTCCCTATTTGTTCCATATGGCCCTGGGGGACGGCTCAGCGCAGGGGGAAGGCCGTTGCCCTTCTCTCTGCCCTCGGTCAAGATGCCGGCCCGTCGCCGCCGCCGGCCGATCTCGCGAGATCTCCTCCCAGCGCACGGGCGCTCTCTCGCTCTCTCTCTCGCCCGCGCGCGGGGCGCGGCGAAGGGCGGGGCCGGGCGCAGCTGGGTCGCTGGTCGGTTGCCAGGGGCAACGACGGGGCCTCGGGCCTGAGCGAGAGACAGAGACGGAGACGGAGACGGAGCGCGGCCGGGGGTGGGCGCGCGGGGCGGGGGAGTCTCTATGGGGGGGCAGTGATGGGGGTGTTCCACGAGGGGGACTCTGGGGGGCGGGGATGGGGGAGGGGGAGTTTGGGGGGGCTCGGGGATGGGGCGGGGGGGTTCCACGAGAGAGGGGCGTGGGGAGGGGGAGCCTCTATGGGGGGGCGGGGCTGGGGAGCTTCCACGAGGGGGGGTGCGGGGCTGGGGGAAGGGGAGTCTCTATGGGGGGCGGGGGCGGGGGGGTTCCACCAGGGGGGGATGGGGAGGGGGAGTCTCTAGGGGGGGCTCAGGGATGGGGCGAGGGGGTTCCATGAGGGGGGCACGGGGCTGGGGGAGGGGGTCTGTACGGGGGTGGCGGCGATGCGGGTTGGGGAATAGGGAACAATGGGGATTGGGGGATTCCATGGGGGGCTGCGGTGGGGATGACGGGAGATGGGGGCTCCACGGGGGCAATGGGGGAGACTCCCCAGGGAGGGGGCAGGGGGGCCTGGTGCTGCCTTTGGTCAGCCGAACCTGACGCCTTTGCTCTTCCCTAGCCAAGCCCTGCCCAGAGGACCCTGCCTGCGTGGGGGGCGCCTGGCGATGGCGCTGGTCAGCAGATTGGTGCCCGCCCGTTTCCTGACCCTCACGGCCCATCTCGTCATCGTCATCACCATCTTCTGGTCCCGGGTAAGAGACCCCGATGACGCCCACCCTGTATGACACCTACGATCTTACACCCAGACAGCTTGCCCGCCCATCCACCCCAACAACGCCCACGCTGTATGACACCCAGGATCTACACCCAGACAGCATGCCCG